AAGCAATAGCCATCATTTGTGTCATATAAAGTAAAATTATGCACGGCTAGTTTGGTCTTACATACATAAGGGATACTTAGGATTTCGAGGCAAGTAATACCGATTGAAGATCCATAGTAAGGACTACATCACTTTCGGAAAGCTTATCCTTGCTTTTTTCGTTTCTGGCTTCTTCTTTTAGGACCAGATACTCTTGGTATATTTCCTCGGAGATATTTTCAGTTTTGTAGCCCATACATACATCGCATTGGTCTTTTTTGGCCTGTATAGAGACAAATTCATTTCGTTGAATATTGAAGAAAATGACATACTAACGGCTTGTGCATTTTGCACCAAGTATTTTTGTAAAAACGATATAGTTCTCTTTTGCTCTACCATAAGGGTTCTAAATATAATTTGCTGGTAGAAGACCGGCAATAATGACTTTCGATTTTAGGAAGGGAATTAAAAAAGATTTTTAGCTGGTTAATTGATTTTGTTTTTTCATTTCCTCTTCTAGGTCTTTCAACCCTTATTGTGTCGTTATCAGTTATGTTGTTTTCCTTATTTAACCAGAGCAACATTACAGGCAATAACTCGCATGTTAATTGTTGTAGCTCGCCCGATTTTGAGTACTTAGGTACATTTCAGAGATAATCGAGAATATTCGCACATCCACGTATAGTAGTAGGCACTTTTGAATGTAGTGGGAAGAGAATCCGAGATGCATCTAGCTCATCAGTCGTACTGTCGAACGGAGAACCGGGACTGGTAGTGTAGCTCCGACTCTCTGTATCTGAAGTTTCCGAAGACATGGTGCAGGTTTGGAACTGGTACACCAGCATATTAACCGTATCTGTGAAAGTACTGACTGACACACCAACGGGGACTCTATAGTAGGTTTCAGTAGGGAATCTGAGGAAACTACTGCCATTCCAGCCACGTTAAAGTACATGTCTTATCTTTCGTTTCTGTTTAGTCATTACACTCCATTACCATTTATACCGATTCCTGATACAAATAAATACCGAGATAATCGCTTTGATCTTTAATAAGTTGATGTGCATAGATTATAAGTATAAATCAAATGTACAATATTCTTGTAATTAACAGATAATTCTTTATTATCGTTAATTGTGTGTCATTTAATACATACATTCATACATATATTAAATAAACGAATAAAATAATAACCAAGAAAAACTTATATTTATCTATTAAATTCATTTTTCATTGAGCATTTCCTTGAAGGTTTCGATTTCCAGCATCAAGGATGTGATCTGATTGTTGAAGGATAATGAATTTTGTTGGTTTCGAGCATAACCAAGAAACCACACCACACTGGCAATGTGAGAACAATGTTCCGAGAGTCCGAGCCCCAGATTTACACGTATAATAATAACCCAATGTAGGTGATTCCTCTTCCTCGTGCTCATCAGGGTTCAATTCATTATTTTCGACAGGCCTGTATGCAATCCAAAGTTGATACTTTCCGACATTATGGAATCGAGAGAATATTCTAATTCTTATAAAGCCAGGTTCTAGTAATTGTTCGTTGTCTCTCATCATTTCGAGCTGAAATTCTTCCATATCTTCCCGTTGTAACTTATTTTGAATATTGCTAGGAGCTAGCTTCACCTGGTAAACTTCAGATCTCGGACCATATCTAAGGTTAGAGCAGGAAAATCTGATTGTTGACCATTTAAACGGACCCATCTTTGTGCATTTCGAGTATGTAGTAGTTGGGCCTCTACGCGTGCCTGAACAACGTTTACTTCAGTGGCACTTTCTACTATCTCTGCGCAAGTAAATTGTCAGCACCATTCATTTCAATAGGAATGCGATATCGGTTGATAATAGCTCCAGTAATTCTATAAAAGTATAAAAGATGTGGAAGGTGATATGTATGTATGATTTGCTGAAAAAACTTGAAAATGGACTCTACATATATGGCCATTTCTCGCTTCTACAATCCATCTTGTCTTCGTAATAACTTATTACTTACGAATAAGCCTTGATTCATTTGCTTCATCAGTACTTAGTTGCCTTCTGCCTCGTGGAAGAAGTGATGGCATCTTCCAATTTATTCCAAGATGTTGAAGTGATTCTATAGCATCTCTATAACCCCGATTGACTATTATTATGTCGTCTTCTTGAAACCATTCTCGCATTCTCTCAGCGTTTCTATTAAATTCATGTTCAAGAAGGGCAGCGTCATTATTATTACTGTTAGAAAAGTAAGGCCCGTGGATGTCAAGAATTTAGCCATTGGAAGCCACAACTAGTACTGGCTTTAGCAAATGTCGACCCTTCTGCATACAGTAAGACTGACGAAGACTGCGAAAATTACTACTTTTTTAAATACCGTCGATGTATGCTATAACCCGTGGTACTTCAGGTTCTGGGTTGTAGAGAGTATTTGAAAATTTGGTAACATGTCTCTCGATGTAATTTCGTCTTGTAATTGCATCTAAACCAATGTTACTTGGAACAAATCTTTACATTAGTGATTGCCGAACAGAAGATATAGCCATGCTCGTGGCCTGTCTAGAAGAGTAATCAAAAATCAATTTAATAAATTCATCAAACAGTCCTTGTCTTATTTTACACAGAAATGCCAATAAATTTTTTTCGATACATATCTAACTAATATAAGCAGAGAAATAACCCAACAACCCAAAAACTCAGTTCCAAAAATTACACTTACTCAATAATGTTATTAAGGAAATAGTCTCATTCCTAACGTATAGCTCCAACTAATACTTACAAATTCCTGCACACATACAAGTTTAACCCATTATATCTCTAAAAGTATGGGTTTTAGGGCCGTGGTGTAATGACAACTTTTGATCAGAACATTGAGAATTATAACATACTAAATTTTCAGCTATTTTCACCAAAAGCGATTTTCCATAAGAAATGTGCGTGGTCCTTTATAATAAATATTCAAAATGACCACCTTCATTTTGCAATCATAAATTTACCCTGCATTTCATGCTCTCAAAACATGCTCAAGTTCATTTGGTGTTATAATGTTTATTTCATGTTCAATTGCTGCTTCCAGATCTTCAAGTATGTGGATTTTTGAATATCTTATTTTTGATATGGCCAAACACATAAAAATCTAAAGGTGTGAGATCAGGGCTTCGAGCAGGCCATAAACCCCTAGTAATCAATCAATAGTTTCTGCTGCAGTATGTGCAGTGACTCCATCTCGTTGAAAATAACCATTCTGCAGTTCATCGTCGTGCATTAATTCCAGGGCTTCATGTTTCAATAAAATTATGCGTATTTTCTGCAGCCCAAGTTCTATAATTCTGACTATTTACGTAACCAGATAAATATACCCATGCCACATAGGAATAAAATGTCAAGTCTAATATACTAACATCATTTAAATGTTCATTAAACCATCGACAATATTGTACTTGTTGGTTGTGATCAGAAGGACATAACTCTTGCACAACAGAAACTTTATAGGGATGCATATGCATCTGCTTCTTTAATGCCTTGTGATAAGTCCCGACTGATACACCTACAGACATATTATCAATATAATATTATGTACAATTATTTCTTGTAAATACACAAATTAACCAGTTTAAAGTTATATATTGATAGAAAAAATACATTCTAAAGAAATAGCAATATTAAACAAATTTCAAAATTATTTAATTATTAACTATTCGTTAACGCTTCGCTTTGGGTTAAGAAATTTACATAATTCAACTCGAGGGGGAAACCGCTGCCCAGTATGGTGTACACTCTATTACCCTTTATTCCCCGAAACTGGCATTTCCTGGGTAATACTTAGGGATTTCCCCTCATTACCCAAAATTTCCCCGTATACCCCCGAGTTTCCCCATATTTTCCAGAATTTCCCCGTATTACCCCAGAATTTCCCTGTATTACCCCAGAATTTCCTCATATTATCCAGAATTTCCTCGCATTACCTAGAATTTTCCATGCATTACATGTTATTTCCTTTAAATTACCTGTAAATTTAGCTAGCTTGTTTATCTGCTACAAAAAATGTATCTTATGTGTAAAAAATGTAAAAATATCTTTCATGAAAACAAGAATTTTTAACAAAAAATCGATTTAAATAAAATCTATTTAAGTCAAGAATAATAAAAAAAGGTGTAAGTTTTAAAAAAATAATGACAAAAAAATAAATCATTTATTCTTAATAACAAAAATACTTAAATTTAAATTAAAAGGTACAACTTATATAACAGCCTTGATTGCAAGCGCATCATCGAGTATACCTTTCACAAAAATAAAAAATAATTTATAAAAAGTGGAAAGTTGGTATAAATGATAAATATAAATACAAACATCGGTTCCTAGTCTTTAATTGGTGTTTTTCTTAATAAATTTATATTTTTTAGTTATATTTAAAAGGTCTATTTGCTTAAGTTGAAAAGGTCCATTTCCTAATAGTTGAACTGGCCCATAAAATATATAACTTTTATTTATACTGGCAATATCAACACAACGCGGCCATATGAAATGTTCAAGTTCAGCTTTAAGAAATTTCATTTTGTAACAGTTAACTCCACATTCCTCTATAACGCGACCAATGGGTGTATTCAGCAGAGAATAGCAATGAGTTATCGATTAGACGTAAAATCACGTGATGATTACTAATCGAACATTTTCTTCTGAATGGTCTTTTTTTGTGATGTTTTCATTTGTCAGCTGGTAGCTGATTTGAGGTTAGATCGGTTATTATTGCAGGAGTTTGAAAATGGATATCCCGTTGTATTTGGTTTTTAACGATGAACTAGACCCGAATATTGTTGAAAATATAGGGGTTAATCTTGCTAGACCGCTGCTGTTATTAGCCATAAAACCACGACAGCAACAGGCGAGAAATGAAAATTATTTTGAACAAATAATACCAAGTTATAGTGATGTCCAATTCTTTGAACATTTTAGGATGCGAGGAAATCTGCAGAGGCAAGCTTGGCAGTCAAGCAATTTTATGTAATTGCAACTGATTTTACCCTTTATTTTAGGAATTAGTGCATATTGTAGGAAATTTATTTGATAACCCGAATGAAATGGCACCGTTACGAAAAAAATTACTATATACTATCTGGGTGTTAAGCAAGCAAGAAAGTTTTCTTGCAACTGGCGATAGATTTAATCTTGCTGTAAGCACAGGCCAAGCTATTTTTAAACAAATTATTATGGCTTTAGCTAGTTTGATGCCACAGTTGGTGATCTGGCCTGAAGAAAACTCATATGAAGCTTTATCTGCTGTGAGTTTATTAAATAAAATTGAATTCTACACATAATTAATATTTTACAGATTTTTCAGAATAAGACACATGGATTTTCTGGGATACTTTGTGCCATTGACGGATGTCATATTCCCTGCAAACAACCAATTGCAAATAAAGTAGATTATTATAACAGGAAAGGATTCCATTCTATTATTTTACAAGGTAAGTTAATAATTATAAATATTCATTTTATGACAAGGTACTTTTGAAAAGCAGGAAGGTTTATGAGAAGCAATCTTACTATGAATTTCAACATTAATTTTATTTCCACTTATTTTAGGTACATGTGACCATAGGGGTAGATTTATAGATATATATAATATATTGGTAGTCCTGGAAGGATGCATGATGCAAGAGTTTTTAGAAATAGCCCTTTGTTTGAACCTATTACAGAGAGGAATTTAATTCCATCTCATTAACACCTACTAGGTGATGCAGCATATCCTTTAAAAGTAAATGTTATGACTCCTTTTAGAGACACAGGTCATTTAACACCAGCTCAAACAAATTTTAACATTAAATTGAGTTCTGGTAGATCAATTATTGAACGGGCATTTGGACACTTGAAGGGAAGGTTCAGGAGATTAAAGTACCTCAATATAAGTGATTTGGAGCTGGGCAAAAATATGATAGCAGCTGCTTGTGTGGTACACAATTTTATTTTAAATCAAAATTATGGAGGCATGGAAGATGATATGGAGAGAGAAAATGTAGATGCTATGGAAAACTTTGTACACGATCAACAAGGTGAAGAACCTGCTTACGTAGAAATGGCTGCAGTTGAAAAACGCAATAGGATTATTACTTTATTATAACAAAATATGTATTTACATTAATATATAAATATATATGTAGTTTTTGTTATTATTTTTTTTCAACTAATATTTTTAAAAGTTCGTTCCATTCTGCTTGGATCAGATTGTTTCGTTCTACTGATTCCCTAAGCATTCTTAACTCAGAGACTCTGTTTTCTTCCAATTCGATTTGTTTTTTTCTCAAACCATAGAGTTTCTCTCCTCTCTCAGCTTTTGTTGTTGGGGAGAGTATTTTCCCTACTCCAGATGAAGGCGGTATGAAGGACGCAGAATGCAACAAAGAAGATTTATCCTTGGAAGTGATCGTGGTTGCAACTGAAGGACCTGCCAAGTTTTCGATGTGTGCTATGGAAGATGAAACCTCAGAAGTGACAACAGATGCAACTGCCAAAGGACCTGCCAAGTTTTCCATTTGTATCATATTTTCATGGGATATTCTTGATATTCCTGGTGTCGAAGATATAGAGGACACTGTAGCTCCCAAATTAATCGTTTTGCCCTCCTCAAATGCATCATCCATCATGTCGAAATATCCCCATTTTACTGTCTCTCTGCCTGTAGAACTTTTCTTTTTATTGTCTTTAATAGTTTTGTAAGTATTCTTCATATTTCGAAACTTCCTTTCGATTCTTCCTTCGTCCAAATTTGTATAGACCTGCTTCGCCATTTCCATTTGTATGGACTTCCATAAATCTTTTTTTTTTTTTAATTTTAGGGTTTCGTAAGTCTAGTTTTTGTTTTTTTAAACATTGCCCTAACAACAATATTGCCTCTGCTTCAAGTCCATGATTCTTCATCTATGAAAAATAAAATAATCAGCAAAAATACATTTTCAATTGTGAATATTTACTTTGTAAGTTCTTTGACACCTGCATTTCCAATGAAGGTTTATTATTTGAAATATAGTTTTCGAAAAATTCTGCATCTAAAATAAAATCAAAATTTTAGTAATTATTTTTATTTGAAAAGTTCTTAAACCTTTATTTAACGCTACAATTAGTATAAAATATGTATATACATGTAAAAGAAAACATGTCTAGGCAAATATACAGGTTACAAGATTGCAAACTCACCATTTTTCAAGTTGTCATGTAAAGTACCTACGTGTTCCAACTATTGTATAAATAATGTCGTTAAATTCATAACAGACTTCTAACGTGTCTAAAGTTTCCATTTTTCAGTTTTCACTATAGATAATAACCGTTTCCACAAACTGTTAGGATAGGATTCAAATATTATAGGTAAACAAATCGCTAATCGTGATTACTAATCGAGTTTGAAACACGATTTAAAAAATGGCGTCCGATTCCTAATCGCGCGATAACTCATCGGTTCCAATATGCGCATTCAGCCGCAAAATGATCAGCGATTGGCCATCGATGTGCTCTGCTGAATGAGGCCAATGTACCATTTTTCTTCATAAAACACAGCGTAATACTGTTCCGTTTGGATGTTCAAATTATGTACATTCTCTTCTAGCGGCTCGGAATTGGAACTATATGATTTTTCCGCGTCAGTGGAATCTTCAAGTGGTATTATTTCATTTAAAAATTCGTCTTCAGAAGAAACCAATATACCAGGTTTTTTTTTGGTATCTTATATACTTTTCTTGAGGTTCTCTTCAATGGTCGCTTTCTTGTCTGACTTTTCTGGTTTATATAAAATCTTCTTAATCTGTCAGTACTGACTTTTCCGTTATTTTCATTTTTTTACAATTTTCTTTTCATTTGATAATTGGACTTCTACAAATTGTGAGTTGTCCCGTATGTCCGTCACTTTATCTGAATAATCCTTTAAAGTTATATCATATTTGTTAGAAGATATTTCATCTTCAGTTTGATCTTGTGCTGAAAAAAAATCTAAATTTTCTTGATCCTGTTTAACATTAGTTTGTAGTTCATCTATTTCCTTTTCTATATCTATTTCATCATCTTTGTTTTATTGTCAAAATTTAATGGAATATCAACGTGTTTCCAATCTTCACCATCAGAAGATATGCCTAATTTATGTATATCTTCTACTGCATTTTCCAAAGCTAATGTAACGGTATGGTTGATAATAATAATAATAATAAATTTATTTTCCTTTTGACAACATACATTGTATAGGAATAGTCACAATGATATTAAAACTGACTAAGTTAAAAAAAAGAGGAGAATAAAAAACGAAAAATAAACGAATGAATCGGCAGAGATCATACAAATTCGCTCAAGTTATAAAAGCATCTATCCAGAAGATAAAGTTTTAATTGTTTTTTAAACAAGATTAAATTGTTTATATTTTTAATATGTACTGGTAATTTATTAAAAACTTTTTTGCTTAAAAAGTTAGGTGAATTAATTGTTGCATTATAAATTCAAATTGATGATTTCGTCTAATAGCATTTTTCTGTCATTCAAGACTCGTTTGCCTTCCCTCGGAAAACAAAAAATCCCGTTCAAATCGCTTATTACGGAATTTATAGGAGATCAAAAAAACGTCTTCTTTCTGGGCTTGAAGGAATAATTGGAAATTTCAATCATAAAGTTATAGGGATTGATGATATGAATAAATAGTGTAGAGTAATTTTCAATTAATGTCAAAAGCGTCACCACTATTGAAAAAAAATTAAATGGATATAACCGGTTTTGTAAGAAAATCAAAGAAATTTAAAGAAAAACATATTTCTTCTTTTAAATGGAGTATAAACAGTAATTTTATTAAAATGTATGATTTTTATAAACTAAACGAAAATAGAAAAAAAATTATTAAATTACTTAAATTAAATTTATTTAATTGAAGTACTAGATGTGTAACCCAGATTCTTCGTGAAGGCAATCACAAAGTAGACCATCATCGTCCCCCCCTGCTTCTCCATCTACCTGTATTCCTGCTTCATCCTCTACTGACTGCATCTCTGCAGTGTTTTCAGACACTAAAAGTGCCTTATACCATGCCAAGTCGACTCTTCCAGTCTTCTCCAAAATGTTGCATCATTAAAGTACCAAGAGATTTTTTTTCTTTTCTGTTATATCGTTGCCTAGTGGCACAAATTGTAATTCAATATCTTCTGATTTACCTTTCCTTGTGAGGCTCTCTAATTTATTATTGTTAAACTGAAATCTATAATGCTGATACGTGACAATTTTTATACTGCTTTAAGGTCCGCTTGTTATTTTCTGTATTGAAATTCTCTTACAATCAGATATTCCATTTACTTTTTTGTAAATTTTTTCCAACTGTTTGACATTATATAGCTGCCAGTTTTGTCCAAGTGTTTTTACAGGACCTACTTGCGAGTTTAGGTCAACATATTGTTCAGCCGATATTACTTCTGGAAATTTTCTTAATAAACGTTCCACTCTCCCAATAACTCTATCTGCTGCCATGAAACTGTGGCCTCTGACGGGAAACGTTAATATTATTTCCTTTATGTTTTCTGGAGATTTATTTTTTAACCAGAACATCAATGTATGGATAACGTGAGAATTTTTATTTTGTCCGGCGCATCCGTCGCAAAATAATCTAATGGTACGTATATTATTGTCATAATCCAAAGTATCAAGATAATTTAGCAATGCCGATCCAACTTCAGTAGGTCCCCTGCCAGCTAAATTCTCAGTCCAAACGTAAAAGGAAGGATTTCTTGAGCTGATTGGAACACAACAAAAACAGTAGAAACTAATTTGATGTGAGTAGAATGCATCTCCTATTGGTGTTTTCGGTAGAGGCTGAACTTGCTGGAGATCGAAGCAAAATGCCAAGCTATATTCGTCTTGTTCTCTCGCAAGCTCGTAGAAAGTGTCAGCTCGCTTTCTGTGAATTCGATACTCTATAAGAAGATCGTGTCTTTTTTTAATACTTTTTTCCGTTTTTATTTGTTGTTTTAATCTAGTACATTTTGCACACACGTCTGAGGCAGGAGACGAAAATCCAATATTGAAGTTTTTTATAAAAATGTTTCTAAACATGTCATAAGTAACTCGATCTTGAGCCTCACACTTTCTATTATACATTTTTTGGAGCTTAGCAATTGAAAGCTCAGGAGAAAGATAAATTCCTTTTGATTTTTTCCTGTTATAGTGGCTTTCTCTTCCACGAAATTTCCTTATGAAATCACGGACGTTCTCCTTCTTTGTTTCACTTTTCTTTGAAATTCGGTCTCCGCCGCGTCTCTCTTGGAATTTGCCCCTCACATATAAACCTTGAAACAGTGATAATTCTATGTTTTGATACACCTACCGCTGCGAGAAAAAATTTCTGGCAAACTCTTTCTGCCCTGTTGCCAACTTTAATAAAATAAGAAACTGATGAGTTTCTTTGTTTAAATTTTTGGTTTGACCTATGGCGTTGAGTAGGTGTAACAGAGAGCATGTGACAAAGCTTTGTGTCTTGGACAACTTTGACCGGAACTTCGTAAAATCTCTTACGCAAACGTTTGATGTCTTTTAGTTGCACAGTTGAACACCTATAGGTTTTTGTGTTGTGACGACATACTCTTTGTTTTTCTATAGGTATATTTTCTGAAGATACAAGACGTCTGTTTATGTGTTCTCCTATTTTTGTCAAGTTAAGGATGTGAACAAAAGAATGATAAAAGAATATAGTTGTTTTGTCAGCTATATTTATCTTGCAGAACTTTTACCTTTTCAAAAGGATTCTGGATTTTACGAGACAAGGGGGTTTTTGTCTTTAAATAAATATCATCATTGGGATGAAAGAGTTCAGGTTCGTCGCAGTTTTGATTTATCTTTTCGTGTCTGTTTACCTTGGTCCAATTTGCTTCTAATTTGCTCATAAGTTTTTCAGATAATTTTCGAGAGTTCTCTACGAAGTCGTGGGTAGTTTCAACTTCGTTAAGAATAGGTGAAAAATCTGTATAGATAGAGGGGAACAGTATTGGAAAAGGGGTTTGCTGTGTGGCAGAGTGGATACAATTATTATAAGAAGTTATTGTTATTGTTAAATACCTTACTTATTATAGGAAAAGGCTAACTATAATAAATTAACAACTGGAGCTGATTCTTACAATATATTGATAACT